AAATTATTACAGTATTATTTTATAATATGAAATTGGATATAAAGTAGTGAAATCATTAAAAAAAATCTATAAATAGTTACATGAAATTCGACTGCTAAAAAGATTAAATGAAATTAAACTATACAGGACGCCGCTAAATGTATTATACAATATTATACACAGGAACGCACATCATGTTAGACACAGAAAGCGCATCGCGTATGAAACAAAATGGTTTCTAAATTCTCAATGTCGCAACTCTTTCTATCTATGGCTCTGCGTCATGCCTGTGTAGGACGCCCACTAACGGTTGTATATTCTTTTTATTACCCAGTGAAGCGCTGCGCAGCGCGGTAGAAGTACGCCCGCTATAAACTCAGTAAGCAGAAAACAAAAGTACAGTATCTTGTGGAGAACAGATAAACAGACAAACCTACCTGCGCGGTGGATTACTGGATAATAAAACACATACAAGCGTTAGTTGGCGTTCTACACTAGCTGCGTAGAGGGTATCGTTTTTTTACGCTCTCAATGAGAGTTGTTGGCTCTCTTGTTCTATTTATACTCTTTGTTATTAGTAATGCATCTGAGACGCGTGTTTAAAGGCTGATATGCCTATTATGAGCCATAATTGTGTAAATTATGGAATATGTGAAAGTAATTCCAATTAAACTGATAATGGATACAATTATTAACTTAGCAAGAACGTCATGCTTAATCTTGGATGCGTGTCTTAGTAGGCCCACAACGTGTTTGATAGTGATAATTGATTTGATGCCAATTACCTGTGAGATTTTGATGTTTCTGAATTTTGTATTTCTCTTCCCCATATTGGGGGTATTTTCTGTATTGAGAATGGTGTTTCTGAGGAATAGAAAAATAAAATATAGCCTACCTGCAAACGCTTCTAGTATTGGTAGGCATGACCTTGAAGAAACTTCTTCATTGACCCTAATTTTTACTGTGGCAATTGTTAGAGGTGTTTCACCGTTGTCATTATGTACCCAGCAAAGTGCACCAAATCGATAAAGTATTTTACACAATTCAACTTCATCTCGCAGGACGGCTAAGTGAAGGGGTGTTTGGTTGTCCTCTTCACGGACTAGAGTAGGATCAGCCCCTTCCTTTAGCAGCAACTCCGCTATTTTAAGGTAACCCTTAATGATAGCGTGTCTCAGAGGGAAACCCCCTTGAACGTTGATACGTGCTTTTGCTCCGATCAGTTTGCGGACACAATTTACTTTCTGTTTCATAACCGCCAACTGCAGCGGAGTTGTTCCCTCTAAACTCAAAGGGTCCACTGTTGCTTTGAAATAAAGCAGAGTTTTAACAATTTTATCACGTCCATAATGTGCTGCCACGTGTAAGGGAGTCCAACCATCTATGTTTGGAGTATCAATGAAGTGGAATTTGTCTTTGGTAACTTCTAACAAAATGCGAGCAAGACGTGTAAACCCGTGCATTGCTGCATAATGTAGGCATGTAAACCCTCGAACATTGTCCTGAATTTCGGGATTGACTGTAAGAAAAAAACAAAATGATGCTTGCATTTCAATTCCAGAATCATTATTCAATATCCTGTAAACATCAATTTTATTATTACTTACTAAAACTGCACTATTTAAAACATTAAAAAAAATCTATAGAAAACAACATAATTTCAGTAGCCTATCTTTTAATCGACTGACCGGAATTTTGCCGTGATTGCAGCTTTTCAGCTAAATTGCAACTGATAAAGAAGAAAACAACATGGTTGTATGTACAATCAATAACAAAACTAGCCTAAATGATAATTTAGTTAATTGCAACTGAACAAAAACAATATTATGCTACATTCATGTAAATATTCGTCTGAGGTTCTCGAAAAATATATTGTCTTTTAAATATAAATACCACAAACTGTCGAAGCACGAGCGATTCATTCGGCCAATGAGCCCATGTTGTGGTGGGTAAAGCCGACCACCTAAGGACTCCAAAAGCAGGAGATAACAGGAGGGGTGTAAATAGTGTCGAATGATGGAAAGGTCCAACACCGCAGTCAGGGATCGGGCATTTATCTTTAGGCCTACTTTATTAAAATATCCAGCTCAGAGGGTATTATCTTTACCTTGTAACGATTCCTGAACCTACGATCACACATTTGTATAACATGCTGAAACTTGGTTGGAAATATTAGTAATAGGTATTAAATATTGCTCGTACGTACCTCCATATTGTATCAATGTTTTTATAACATGCTCGTTTCCTAATGCTGCTGCTAAGTGTAATAGAGTCCAGCCATTTGAATCAACTTCATTAGGAGAATAGCCCATTGACAAAATCATCTGAATTGATGAGTACAAGAACAGCATTAGTAACAAGAAAATATGTTGCAAGAATAATGTATCTGTGAGAAAACATCCTGGTCTGGAGAAAGACAAGCATCATAGCCGCTTACCAACTTGCAGCACTATCTAAAAGATAAATACTTTTCTTGATGACCATATCAAAAAGTGTTGTATAATAGGCCTGCTAGCAGGGGATCCATGAGTTTCCTGCTTACGTTAAAGTCTTCCAGAATCTGCACCGTTTCCCGCACTCCCGCGAGCAACACATATCTCCCGGATATAATCCATATCAAATCACGTTCAAAATTAGCCTACCTCTACTGTGCATAGATGGTCCGGAAAGAGAAGAGGGACTTTTAGGTTAATAAATTCAAAATAATAATTAATACCACTGTCAAAATAACTCAAGTTTGATCGCAATTTTCCCCCTTAAAAAGTATACCACTTTAAGGATGTCAGAACAATTAATAATTTATCATAGTTTCAATGTGAAAGTTTTGTTTGATTTTTTAGTGTTATTTTCCAACATTAATTGAGTTTTTATTATTCTCATATACTTGTTTGTAAGCAAACAGTATATATTTGCCTAACTTATAAGTTCTTGAGCATATTGTACAGCATGGGCTATTAAACCTTTTGTATATTGCACATTCCAACTTCTCCCCTGACTTCTTCGTCCACCATTGATTCCATTGAATGTAAGATAAGGTAACCAAAGTTGTCGCAATCCGTGATCTAGAAATAATAATAATAATAATAATAGTAATAATAATAATAATAATAATAATAATAGTATTAATAGTAATAGTAATAATAGGCCTAGTAATAGTAATAAAAATAACCATCACAATAACAATAATAGACTAAGGCACCATAAAAAATTTAAAAAAATTATTAGTTTATCACCCGCTCCCTCATCACTTTTGGGGAAAATCTGATTTTTTTTTTTTTTTTTCAATCAACATTATATTTTTATTTCAAACGGTCCTTTTCCATCTTTTTTCACTTGAAAAGAATCAGGATTTCTTGCAAATATGTTTACTGGTACAACAAAAACATCTTTTTTAAATATAAATTTGATTCCATTCTTATGACTTTTTATATGTCCCTAACCATTGATCTACTTGTGAACATCGGTGGTTAGAAAAAAAAAAAAAAAAAAAAAAAAAAAAAACCTTCTCTCCCTCATCAGTTTTTATTCTATGATAGGGTGATAAACTAATAACTAATAATTTTTTTATGGGGCCTAAATAAGCTTTAGGAACATAAGGTGTAAGGTACTCTAAAAATACGATCCATGGTTTTCAATGAGTCTAAAGTTGTATTGATGCTAACTAAAAAAAAATTAAAATTCGAACATTTCTCGTACGTGCGAGATAATATCTCGATAACGAGATAATTATCTCGTATTTATGAGATAATATCTCGTAATGACCAGAAATGCGTTTTCTGACCTTTGACACGTGTCAATGCGTATGCCTATTTCTGTAAATGTTGGTCGTACAGATCAATCTCCAATTATTCAGTAGATACATATTTTTATCTACTTTATTATACTATTC